CTTTTTTTTATTTTTCTTTTTACAAAATTTATATACAATTGTATTTACAATGATATTTCTTTCATTGTTTTAGTATTATTTATTTATAGAGTTTATATTATATTATTATTATATTATTATTATGGGATATATTATTTAATTTTCTCTTGGCTTTCTTTTCATTTTGGTAATATCAACTTCGTCTTTTTTAACACCAAAATCATTATACTCTTTGAAATCTTCATTACCCATTTTGTACATTGAATATGCATAGACACCAACCGAAAAAATAGCAATACTGCCAAAAATTAAAATATTACCTCTTAATTTTTGTCTATGATATGGAGTGACACCTGGCATTTCTGTATAGTGAGTATTTTAAATATTGTAAGTGTCTATTTTTATAATATTGTATGTTTGGTTTTTCAGATATATACTTTATTTATTTTTTTCTGATTTTTTGTAGAAATAAAAGTAATGAATGAAAAAAAAAATTTTAGAAAAATAGAAAAAAAATTTAAAAAAATAAAAAAATAAAATTAAAAAAAATAAAAAATAAAAAAATAATTTTAAGACATAATCATTTGTTTCATTTTGAAAACTTGAAAACTGGAAATATATAGTAATTTTATTTGTTTTTTAACCTTTTTTATAAATAAAAGCAGATAGTTGAATAATTTTTTGTTTAATTTCGTGTAAAACTTGATCCTGTAAAAAGTAAATTAAATGTATGTTAGAATCTCTTATAAAATTTAATATATATAATAAAGGTATTATAATTACATTTGAACTGGTTGAATATCTTGACCAAAATGTTATTTGTAATAAATAGGAGTGATAATAACGACCAAATTCTTCGCTAAAATTAACATCAAAACCATCATTCATTAAATCTAAAAGAAATAATTCTCTATTTCTAAGATTTGAAATGAATGAATAAAATTTTTCAATTTCGGTATCAGATGATTTAAATTGTATAATTTCATATTGTTTACCTTGCTCTGCTGCCTTGATTAAAGTTTCATAACAATAGATTTTAATTAGTTCCAACATATCACCACCATCTTTTCTTGCTTTATCTAATGATAGTAATTTTAATCTTTCACCCAATAGCATATTATTACAGGTACAAAGTGATGTAGCATTTTGATTATTTTGATTATTATTTTGATTATCAATAATATTATTTTGATTGCTTTCATTATTATTATTTATATTACATTGATTTTCATTATTTAAAACTACTCTTGGTGATATATTACAGCTATTTGAATTACTATTATTACCACTATTAGTACCATTACTACTATTATTGCTATTATTATTTAAATTACTTAATAATACATTATTTATTAATCTTGGACTAAGATTAGATTTATTTAAATTTAATTGTTGCTGTTGTTGCTGTTGCTGCTGTTGTTGAATTGAGTTTAAATTTAATTGTTGTTGATGCTGTTGTTGTTGAATTGGATTTAAATTTAATTTAAAACTATTCATTGTATTAAAATTATAATTATTATTATTACATGTGGATGAGTGATGAGGCATTTGAAAATAATCCAATTCTTTTATAAACATTTTATAGGGAATTGAAATTGGTATATCTAGTTCGTTGGTTCTATAATAGTTGATAATGTATTCAAATAGATCCGGTGATCTATCGAAAAAATATTCACTTTTTTCGTTTGGTTTTAATAGGTGTTTATTTCTTGGGTTGAACATGGTTCCCAATAAAGAGTTTTCAAATTCACTCTTTTGTAATGTTGATAAATACGTTCTAAATAATCTACCACCTACATTTAAATTTATAATTTCATCTTTTTCAAAAATATAATCTTCTTTTTTTTGTTCCATTTTAATAATAGAATTTAAAATTATTAATTTACTATTTTTAATTACTATTATTTATCAATATTATTTTATTATTTCGTTTAAAATTTTATTATTATTATTATTATTATTATTATTATTTATAAAATATCACTTTATTTTTTTAAATTAATTTTTTAAAAAAAATAAAAAAAAGATATATTTTATTTTATTTTGTGATATTAAAAAATTTTAAAAAAATTTAAAAAATAAAAAATAAAATTAAAATAATTGAAAAATTAAAAAAATAATTATATAATAATTAAAAAATAAAATTAAAATAAAAAAAACCAATATTTTATTAGTTTGGTTTACATAAATTTAAAAATAGAATTAAAAAAACCAGAGATAACAATAAATGATATACTTTATTGAATTTAATATATTTTTTTATTTCAATCCTTTTTTTATTTTTTATTTATTTTTTTTTTAATTTTAATTTTTTTTTAATTTTTTTTTAATTTTTTTTAAATTTTTTTAAATTAAATTTTTTTTCTTTTTTTTTTTTTAATTTTTCTATTTTTTTATATATCATTACCAATAAAACAAAAAACATAAATCATTACATAAATAATTAAATATCTTCTTTTTATTATCATCTTTATATACTTTAGATTTTTTTTTTTTTTTTTTTTTCATTTTATCATTTATTTTATTAATAAAAATTCTAAATTTAGAAATTATATATATATTAAATTTAATAAAACAATAGTTTTTTTAATAGAGCAATAAAATAAACATTTGTATACATAAAATAAACAAAAACAAAAAAACATTTATTAAATAGATGATAATAAAAAGATATTAAAATAGATTTAAAGATGAGTAGTAATAATAGCAATAAAAAGAAAGGTGGTAAGCCACCAACGTCATTATCAACCTCAAATACAAATATCCCAACCACTAGATCTAGAAGTAGTAGTAACAGTAGCAATGGCGGCGAGGTGGTAATGGCAGGTACACCATCAACTCAATCTATTCTATCATCATCTCCAGTATCAGCACCAATACCAATACCAACTGCGAAAAAAGTATCTGTTAAAAGTAGTCCACAGCCAATTGTAAATAATAGTAAAAAGGTTGTAAATGCAACACCATCGTCAAGTATTGGGAGTAATTCATCATCGGTAGCAAGTAGTCCTTCATCGGTTGGTGGTAGTTTTAATAAGCCATTTTCAGCTCCATCAACATTTGGTGGTATGCTCTCTAGAATGCAACAACAGCAACAGCATTTATTCAAAAATTCAAATAATACCAAGGTCAATAGTAATATCGATTCAATAAAATCGTCTAATAGTGGTTTTTTAAGACCTGTAGGTATACCAATTTCATCTTCTTTCAATCAAAAAAATCAGGTCAATCAATCATCTGCAAATAGTTCACCAAAAATTTCATCATCCTCATCAAGAATAGGTTCATCTTCAAATTTACAATTATCAACATCATCTGATAGTTCAATGTCAACATCTCCAAATTTTTCTTCATCCTTTACAAAACAATCCCCAAACAGTTATTATAGTGGATTCCAAGGTTTATCAAATAATAGTTTTTCTTCAGCTTCACCATCACCAACTACCACTCACCATAATTTATTTCGAAGGGGTTCACCACCTTCAATATATCTTAAACCTTCACCACCAGGTTCATTCCATGTACCCTCATCAAATAATAGTTTTTTAATGCCATCACCCCAATCAGCTTCAGAGGTTTTTGGTTCTAAATCTTCAACTTCATCATCCTCAGCAACAAAACCAAGTAATAGTGGCGCTATTAAAAATCAACCAAAAACTAAAACAATTGGTTTCGAAATACCATCTTCTGCATCAACAGCAACAAATAAAGATATTAAAAAAGAAACCACCACCACTACAACAGCAACTCCAACAACTCCAACAACACCAAGAAAAAAGAAATCATTTAGCAAAGAGGCAATTATTCCAGCATATGAATTAGAATTTGATTCACAAGAAAGTGACCAGTCAGATAATGAAGATGATTTTGATTTAAAGGAAGATTCTAATGAAGAGGAGGAGGAAGGCGAAATTACATCTCCACCACAAAAAGAAATTACAGCAAAGGATAACAAATGTTTTGTAAATATTGAAAACTTGGATACCGTTTCAATTGAAAAGATGGTGATGGAGGGTTGGAAAAAACAAATACCACGTTTTCATCAAAAAGATGCTGTTGTTAAAATTTTACAAAATATAGTCGAACAATTCAAAATTGATTCTAAAAAGATTGCACCATTATTATCACCAGCAACACCATTAGGTACTCCATTATCACCTCTTGGTATACTATCGGCCCCATCATCAACCAATTCAGACACTTCAATTATTTCAAATTATACTACAAATACTACTACATCAGGATTGGGTATTAATCAAGTTATCAAACCAATTAAAAATGTTAAAAATTATTTAGTTCAACATGCTGCAGGTTCTGGTAAAAGTTTAACAATTGCATGTCTTGTTTATAACCTTTATAGACTTTTAGAAGAAGGAAGATTAAAATATGATTTAATTTTAATTTTAAATGATAAAAGACATCTAGATACACAATTAGGTTCAATTATTACTCAGTATGTATTATTTTATTTCCATAATACCAAAAAAAAAAAATATATTAATATTAATTTTTTTTCAATTTTAGATTTTTAAAAGATAATGATTTAAAATCAGTTATCCATCCAAGTACAGTTAGATTATTAAAAGAAATATTAAGTAAAGCTAAAACTAGGGTAGTTATAACTACAATGCAAAAGTTTTCAAGTATTATTGATCAATTTGACCAAATTTCAAGTAAATATAAATCAATTGCATTAATTTCAGACGAAACTCAAAGATCACATGGTAAAGCAACAAAAAATTTAAATTGTAAATATTATTTTTTATTATTTATTTATTAAATACAATAAAAATTTATTAATTTTTTTGTTTATTTATTTTTTTAGCAATTTTAACAAATGAAAATAGACAAAATAATAATATAACTTATTTTTGTTTTACTTGTACACCAACTCCAAAATGTTTAGAAATGTTTGGTGACACTAGAGGTAATCTTAGGGTACCATTTCATACATATTCTTTAGAGAAAGCATTGCAAGATAAAATTATTATGGATGTTACTATGAATTATACAACAGTTGCAATTTTAACAAAAGTTTCAAATAATGACAAAGTTAATGGTAGTGGTTTGTATGATGAAAAGAAAGCTTCCTATCATCTTTTAAAGGATACACAAAATGACAAGAAAATTATTCAAGAGAAATCATCATATATTATAAAGCATTTTGTCAAATTAAAGGAACAAATGAACAATAAAGATTTTACAGGTAGAGCCATGTTGGTCACAAGTAGTAGAGAACAAATGTTACTCTATAAGCAAACTTTAGAGGCATTAGTTAAGGCTTTACCAAAGGGTGAAAAATTCGATATTATAGCTTCTTTTTCGCCATTTGAACAAAAGAAAAAGTTAAAGGATGAATCAGACCCAAAGATAAACGGTGTTTATGCAAACTATTGCTCAAAGAGAAACGGTATATCAGAGATCTTAAGACATGATACCAAATGTAAAGTGCAATTAATTATTGTGGCCGACAAACTCCAAACTGGCTTTAACGAGCCATCACTAGCTGTTATGTATATTGACAAAGCTTTAAAGAGTGCTGATGCTGTCCAAACTTTTGGTAGATTAAGTAGGGTAGCTAAAGGTAAAAGCCAATGTTATATTGTTGACTTTATAAACACTCGTAGGGAAATTCAAGATGCATTTAATCAATATTGGCGTGAAACTTGTTTAAAGGGTGCTACTAGAAAAACTGTTTTAGAAATGAAACTTAATAGAATTTTAAATAAACTTTCAAGTATTGAACCGTTATCACAGGGTAAATTACAGGAATCAGTTGATTATATTCTACAGGACGACGAAAGAAAGAAAAGAGAAAAGGCCAGAGTCCATAGTATCACAGAAGATATTACACATTTTGTTGATCTTTGTAATCAATTGCTCTGGGATAATCAACCACCAATGAATGTTAGATTTTTAGAGGCAGTTAAGTTTTCAGTTTGCCAAAAACGTGTTTCAACTCAAATACATTCAATTCGTGGATTTTTACAAAATATCGAAAATAAAAGTGCTCTTGGTGGATTAAATCAACAAAATAGTAATTTTTCATTAACCTCAAATAAATCAATTTTTGGTAAAAAATCAAATGAAAAAATAATATCTTTAAAGCAGGAAGAGTATAGATATTTGGATAGTTTTAGAACTCACCAAGAAGATTCAATGGATTTAGATGCTGAAGATTTAGAATTTGCACGTGAAATTTGGTCTGCTAATCCCGAAATTAAATTACATTCACGTCTTTTAGGTAACGAAGAGGAAAGAGAAGAAGAAATTGATAGTATTGGTTTCAATTTGAAAATGTTTGAACAAGCCGAAACTCTTGAACAGGTTATCGAAATTGTAGTTGAGTTTGTATCTAGAAATGGACCAACTTTTGAAGGCTTTATTAAAAATCAATCAATGTCAACTATTTTCCCATTCATCGACCCAAGTAATGAAAATTACCATCTCTATAAACAGAAATTAGATAAGGCTCGTACAAAATATAATCAAGAGCAACAAAAGTTAATTCACCAACAATTGCAACACCAAAGGGAACAACACCAACAACAACAGCTTTTAAAAGAACATCTCGTAACTGAATCAAGTGATATTGTAATGAGCGAGGTTGCTTCGAATAATAGTTCTGGTCAAATTCAATTCAATTTAAAGACACCTTGGAATAATCAAGATATTCCATTCCCAGTACCTCTACCAATAGTATTGCAAGAAGAGGTGGTCGGTAAACCACATGCAGAGGGACGTATGGAGGATTGTCTCTTGGATGATTGCGTCTTATCATTTTGTAATGATTTAGATACCAAGGAGCCAAAGGACGCACCAATTCGTGTTTATGCTATTCAAGTTTTGGGTATGTTAGCAAACAAAGGTGTACATAAGAATCAACTCTTTGAAATCGTTGGCTGTATTCATAAAATCTTATTAAATCGTCAAGAGAATATCAGTATTAAAATGATTGCATTGGATCTATTGGCATTGGTAGCAACTCAAGATGAGGTAACAATTTCGCAAATTGTTGACTTTGGTTTAATCAATACTATCATTAAATTAATTCAAACCGCTGATGACCCATTAAAGGCAAAATGCTGTAAATTCTTTACGATACTCCACAATGATGTTTCAATTGTTTCGACACTCATTGAAAATCAAGGTATTTGTGCCATCACTACATTGTTAGAGTCTTACGACTATATTGTAACCGAACAGGCTCTTCGTTGTTTAATCTCTTTAGCTCAAGAGGATCGTACTATTAAAACTATTCGTACTTCAATTGACCCAAATGTTTTAGCACGTTTAGAGCATCATAAAATTCAAGTTATTCATGATTTAACTAATCAATTAAAAACATTAATTAGTGGCAGTAAAAGGTCTCTACAACAATTTCAACCTCTTATTTCAAACACCAAAAGAATTAGATCAAATTCAACTCTTTCGACAATGTCAACAAGTAAATTAAACTCAAAAAAACTTTTATCAAAATCTTCTTCAAATAATAATATTAGTATTAGCGATGGTGATAAAAAGAATAGTTTATCAACTTCACAACCAAATATTTCTTTGCAAAATAACGATGAACAAGAAATTATAACAACAAGAAGAATTAGTACAAGTGATAATGGAGGTGATACAAATAGTGATATTATTAATGATATTAAAGATAGTGATGATAGTAAAGATAAAGATAAAGATATAGAGATTAATAATAAAGATAATAATAAAAATAATAAAGATAATAATCAAAATAATAATCAAAATAATCAAAAAATTGGAAAAACAATAACAAAACCAATTACTAGATCAGTTTTAAAACTGTAAATTAATTTGTAAAAATAATTAAATAAAAAATGTAAATAAACTTAAAAAACTAAACATTAACTAAATTTTTTTTATAGTTTTAAATATTTGTTTGAATAGATGTAATATTCAAAAAATAATTTTTTATTTTATTTTATTTTTTTTTATTTTTTAAAAAGTATTATTAATTACAATCGTACATAAAAAAATAGAACAAATCTAAAAGATTGTTTTTTTTTTTTTTTTAAACATTATTATTTTGGTTATCATAATTGTTATTATTAATTTGATTTTGATTTAATTGTGGTGAAATATTGTTTGATTCTATACCAGATAGTTCAATAGATTCCATTGTTTGTTCATCTTGATATTCAATGGATTTTGTTATACCACTTCCATTGCTCTTAATTGATTTTTCACCAGGAATAATATGAGTTGGGAATAATCTTTTAACATAGCTATTGTTGAACCAATAGGACTTTTTCCAAATCTTTTTAGTTTGTCTAGTGAATCCATAAAATATCATTCCTTCTAAACCCATTAAACGTAACGCAAATAAAAATGTGAATTGAGCACTTGGTGAAATTGTTTTTAAATCGCATTTATATGTACCGGGTTGATTTGCAGCATTGATCATTAAACATTCAATATATTCTGTCATACTCTTGTTATACTTTGATTGATTCGCTGTAACATATGAGTAATAGATAAACATATAAAAGAATTCTATACACATTAAAACAATTAAACATAAGGGTTTAATATGTTTTCTTAAATATTTCTTCTTAACTATATCTGATATCTGAATAAAAATAATTAATAATTATATTTTAACCTGTTTAATATTATTATATAATTACCTTGTAAATTTCATATAGAATTAAACCAATAAAAACACTTCCTATGGATAAGCAAATACCAAGTGGAACCCAAAAGAATCCATATTGATATTTAAGATCCAACATCCAACATCCAATTGCTGCTTGTCCAAAACCATATTGTTTTTTTACTATTGGTCCAAAAGTTAAAACTATAGCTACAGCATTCAAAGCAACTATATAATAAATAATTTGTTTTCTTGTTGTAATTCTTTTCTTTGCAATGGTTATCCACAAATCGAATGCTAAAGTTGACCACCACAATATAGCACTTACACAACCAAATTGGAAGAATAAACCTGTTGTTAAACATTTTGTATCCGATTGTCTGGCATATCTACCAGGTTCTGGACAATATTTTTCGTTACCCAATTCAATATCCCATAGTTGACGACCGTCACTAACCATTATAAAAAATATTCCAATAAACATTGATAATATACCAATTGTATGTCTGGTGTGATTTCTATTTACTAAAGGACTAAAATTTTATAATATAAATAATTAGTTTATTATTTTTTTTTATTATTTTCATATGAACTTACCTATATGTAATTATTAAAAATAATGAAGCAAACATTGATATTGAACCTAAAACCAAAGACATTAAAAAAAATGAATCCCATTGTTTAGTTGTAAAAAGAGGAGATCTATTTAAAAATTTTTAGGGTTAGTACTATCTAATTTTATTTTTTATTAATTTTTTTTTTACTTACGGGCATGGAAGTACACAATTAGTATCCCCTACAAATTCAAATCCACTTTCAATATCTTTTTCCCTGTTTGTTGTGTTCCTGTATAATAATGGCTGTGGACAAAAACCTGGTGGTAGTTCTAATGATGAAATTAAATTTGCCTTATTTAATAATATTATTAACAATATAAATATATATTTTATAAATATTATCATTTTATAAATAAAATTTCTTTTTTTTTTTTTAGTTTATTATTTTATTTTTTTTATTAAATAAAAAATTAATATTAAAATTACATATGTATATTATTGTTATATATAGTGATTTATAAATTTAGCGGATTGGTGTTTAAGATTTAGGATTTGATAAAAAAAAAGATTTTTATTTATGGGTTTATATAAAAAAAAAATTAAAATTGAGATATTTTTCTCTTTCCTTATTATAATAAAAATAAATAAAATATTTTAAAACAAAAACAAAAATAAATAAATAATTTTAAAAAAATAAAATAATTAAAATTTTATTTAAATATTTTAAAAAAAATCATAAAATTATAATAATATAGATAAATATAGTATGTTTAATTATGTTTTAATAAAACTTTTAATAATATCATACATATAAATTTCTTTTTATATATATTTGTATATTTGTATATATTGATACACCTTTAAATTTTTTATATATTTAAATAGAGTGTGTGGTTGTAAATTATTTAAAATAGTAATAATTTTTATTCTAATGGTGGTGTTAGTGGTGTTAGTGGTGGTGTTGTTGTTGTATATTGGTAAGATATTGATGTTAAACTAAAAAGAAAAAAAATTTAGTGTTTAGTAACAAGAAATAACTATTATTATATATCTTGAATATTAATATGTATTGTATAAAAATAACTGTTAAAAAAACAATTAAGGTGATTATGAGAGTGTCAAAAAAATAATTAATACATACACACCCAAACACATAAAAAAAAATAAAAACACACAAACACAAATAGAAATTTTTATTCACACACAAATACTTTGTTAATATTTAAATATACTTTTTTATAATAATATAGTTATTAAAGGATTTATGTGCATGAAAGGTTTGTTTTTTACTTTTTATCGTATATGAATCTATCTAAAAAAAAAAAAAAAAAATTACCTCTATATTTCTATTTATGTCAATATTTAAAATATAGTTATGTTTTATAATTAATGATATATCGTATGCGGGGTACTAATTTTTATTTTTATCTTTTAAAAATTATTATTTAAAATTTTTGTTGATTAGAAAATAAAGTAGTATGAGTGTTTTAATTATTTTATATTTTGATTATGATTTTAAATACCAAATATTATTTCTTTTTATATTTTTAAAAGAAATAAAACAATTGGTATATATATCTAGTTCTTTGATGGAAATTTTTTTAATATAGGATAAAAAAAAATTAAAAAAAAAATAAAAAAAAAAAAAATATGTAAAAAAAAAAAAAGTTATTAAAAAAAAAAAAATCTTCATAAACTTTTCCAAATTAAGTGGAAAAAATGGAGGGGCTGATATTCAAATTTGTGAGTGTGTAATTTTTTTTTGTATAAAATTTAACCACTTTTTTTTTTTATTTTGTTTTTTGATAAATTAAAAATAATATTCATAAAACCTTTACATCCCTTTAATTTACTAAAGTTTTTGAATAAGGTCTAATATGTGGGTGTTTATAGCCTGAAAATTTCTATTTTTTTTTATTATCGATTTGTTGATTTGCTTAAAAAAAAGGGGTTAAACACCAAAAAGTTTTATTTATTCATATAAAATTATATAATTTTAAATCTTTATTTTTTTTATTAAAAAATGATTATTCATCAATAGTTGATGATCATTTATTTTTATTTTTTTAATTTTGATTGTTTTTTTTAATTTTTTTTTAATTTTGATTGTTTTTTTTTAATTTTTTTTTAATTTTGATTGTTTTTTTTAATTTTTTTTAATTTTTTGTTTTTATGCTTTTTTTTTTAATTAAATTGATTGTTTTTATATTTTTTATTTTTTATTTTTTATTTTTTTTATTTCTTCTTTATCTTTTTGCTAATTTGAATCGAATTTTTATCTATAATAAAGATTTGGTATTCCTCTTCATTTTCATTCTTCAGAAAGATACTATTTCAATATTTTTACCTAATTCTTTAGGGATAGTATTGTTGTTTTTTGAAGCGAAGTAGGGCTTCTAAATTCTTTATTTCAGTCTATCCCTATATCTTTAGTTAATATTTACAGAATTGTTTTAGTTAAAGACATTTTTATTAAAATAAGCATTGCTTAAAATTTGATTAGATTACCCATTGAATTAAATATATTCATTTTAAAATAAATAAAAAAATTAAATATTTTGAAAAAAAAAAAAAAATTAAAAAAATTAAAAAAATAAAATTTTTTTTTAGCTGTTTCTTACACACAAATATGCATAAATAGATATTTTATCTATTTTTTATTTAAAATTATTAACTATGGCATTGGTAAGTATTATTTGTTCGTTTATAATTCTATTTTTTTTATTTTTTTATTATAGTAATTGTTCCTTTTCACTACCAATACCAATATCCCATCTTGTTGTTATTTACAATAATAAAGATAAAGACTTTTTTGTTGTTTTCTTTGCTAAACTTAATCCTTTTTCTTTTTTTTTATTTCAATTTTTCAAATTAAATTAAAAAAATCTTTATCTTCACAATTACAAATTTTTTTTCTCCTTTCCTATAGATAATTATTTTATCATTTTTTTTTTTAAAATTATCATAACTACCACACAACCCACATTAACACAATCAAAATCACATTAATTAACCCCACACACACACACACCACCATACAGACACACAACGCACACACACATAACCACCAACTATTAATAGACTCTTTTTTTTATTATTTAATTACAATTTTTCACATTATTTAATTACAAATAAAAATAAAGGTATTATTTTCCATTATAATAACACTTTTTATCTTTTTTGAAAATTCTATTAATGAATCAAAATAATAGCAGGCATCAACACAAATAAAATAAATTATTGTTAAATTAATTAATTAATTTCTCCAAATAATAATAACTATAATATTGTAACAAAAAAGATATTAACAATATAAAAACATAAAATGAATAAATAAATAAAAAAATTTTATTTATTTTTTATTTGTTTTTTATTTTTTTTTTTAAACTCTAAAATTTTATTTTTCACAATTTAGCTGTTATTTTTTATTTTATCTTCAAAGTATATATCATAAAATAACTCTCCATCACTATTTATTTTTTTTTTTTTTTATTTTATTATTTTTTTTTTTTTTTTTTTAATCTATATCTCTTTTTTTATTTTTTTATTTTATTTTTTTATTTATTTTTAAATTGTTTTTGGGTAAAAAAAAATAAATTTGTATTTTATTTAAGTGTCATTAAATTTATAAATTTTAACCCCACATATTACTTCCAGTTGTTTTTTTTTATTTTTTTTATTTTTTTTTTTGGATTTACAAAAAACAATAGTCCAAAATTTAATAAAATATTAAATCAAGCATTTTATTTGCATCCTTCTATTTTTAAAAAAATATAAAAATTTAAAAAAATATAATTTTGTTTTATTTAAAATTTAAATTAAAGGATAAAATAAATATTAACCTATAATTTTTAATAAAAACTTTTTTTTTATAGACTGAAAAAATAATATTAGGTTTAAATATAATAAAATGAAACTTATAATTTTAATATTATTATTATTTTTTATATTTATTAATAATGCAAAAGGTAAGTCACCTTTAAACAGTATTTTAATATTATGTATAAATATTAATTTTTTTTTCATGAAAAGGTGAATCATTTAAAGATTTTTTAGCACGTGGAAATGTTCATTCAGGGTTTAATGTTGTTGCAGGAATGACAATTGGTTCATTTGTAATTGGAACATTTTTATTTATCATAGTTAAAGTTGTACTTGATCACTGTGAAAGTAAGTATAGCTAATTTTTTTAAAAATCAAAATAAAATAAAATATTAACATTTAACGATCCTTTTTAAAGGTGAAGATAAAGAAAAAAGACAAGTTAAAAATGCACAAAAAAGAATAAATAAAAAGAACGAAATGATAAACAAACAAAATAGTCTAAGATCTAGTTCACACGATACATACAGTAGTACGAAAATGCTAAGAGAAGTTATTGAAAGAAATCCATCATTGGATAAAATTTTTACTTCATCAACTCCAAATAGCTCATCACCACCAAGTTCACCTAATAGACGTTCAGGAGATTTTAGTAGTAGCGTAAATAATAATAGCAGCGGTACGACAATAGTTAATAAAAGTGGAGGTGATGATAATGGTAGCCCTGTATCAATTTCACCACATAATCAGAGAAAAGAGTCACAATCAGGAGTTATATTGACAACAGCTGGTGCCAATGAAAGTAGCAATGGTGGAAGTATTGGCCATAATAGTAGTTCACCTATTACATCATCCACATTAAAAGATAATGCTACTATTAATATTCACCATCATCACCATCACCATCATCATCATTCAGAGGAGCAACAATCTTACTATATTCAAAAAGAATGTGAACCACAACCAATTGATCCAAATGTTGACTCAATAGCCTCTCTTAGTCCACCATCACTTGTATCATCAACATTTGGTAGATCAAGCAACTCCTCAAATCGTCATCGTTCCTCCGATGTTTCACCTATTCTCCAACATGACTTCTTTAATCAACAAAAAAGATCATTAGCAAATAATAGTGAAGTTGCAAATGCATTAGAGAAACAAATGTTTGAAATAATAGATTCAATTGAAATTTTAATGAACTCACCACCACCAACACAAAATCAACATCAAAACCAATCACCACCAATTATCGAGTATCCAGTTTCATCATCACCAAATAGAGAATCTATTACATTAAATCACAATTTAAATGCATCGACATCATCATTTAGACCCAAGAGTACCACTCTCTCACTTTTAGGTTATCTTAGCTCAAATACTCTTCCAAAGGATCCATGGAATTTAATCGTTCAAAGATTACTAGAACTATGCTCATCTCTTTTATTTTTAAATAATAACAACAACACCAATAGTAACATTAGCGGTATGAGCAACAATAGTACCATAAACATTCAAAATATCTTCACTTCTTTAAGTCAACTCGAGTTGGCCATTTCAAACTTTTCAGACAAAGAAAAAGAAAAGAAACGAATTTCAAATGTCATTAATGATCAACGTTATTTCTCCCCAATCACATTTGAACTCTATCATAAAATCATACCAATGCACGAATATCTCAGAAATAGAAATTATTCAAATGCAAAAGAAAGGGAAAATATAGGTATTGCAAATATTTTCGATATAGTAATGCCAACTTTATTTAGATCTTTTAATAAATATTTTGATGAAGACCTCGAAAACAAAAAGAAATCATTTAATAGAGCCAAATTTAATATTTCTGATTTTACCTCAATTTCATTATTAACAACTTACCAAACAAAAAAAATAACTCATAAAACCTCAATGTTTAATTTAATAGAAGTAAGTAGTTTTAAACAATACCAATATTGATTTATTAAATAATGTATTAATAATTTTTCTATTTTAGTTTGTCAGAGCTTTATCACCAATTTCATATAAATGTAATTCATTCAGTACACTTTATAATGTTGTCGATCAATACCATGGTATGGCTGATGATATCGACAAAATTTTGTTCCAGTGTGATGAGTTTAAAAAAGAAATTATAGAACAAACAATACCTCCACAATCATTACAACACTCAAAATCGATTAGAAGTTCATTTGGTGTACCTAATGTCGACCAAGAAATTTTAGATATGGTAAAACTTGAACTTTTCCAAATGAAAGAATCACCAAATTCTCAATCACCAACCATACAACCTGTAAAAAATTCAACCTCTTCCAACAAACCAAATGAACCTTTTAATAATAGTAATAACAATAGTAATAGTAATAGCAATAACTTAAATGGTGCATCCTCACCAAAGCTATCTTCGCCAAGAATTACATCATTACCAATTACATCTTCACCAAAACAATCACCAAGAGATCTAAATAATAAATTGGATGATGATTTGAAATTTTTAGACTTCCTAGGCTCAAATAATAATGCAATTAATAAATCGGTTAATAATAGATTCGAAACAATTGACTTATATTTAAATCCAAGTATAAAGAGTGGATCAGTTATATCATTGGAAAAACAAAAGAATGTTATTTCGAGTAGTTATAAGAGTTTGGAAAGTTCATTAAATATTTTTTCTTCAAGCGAAAAATTCTCAAATAAATTTAAAACAGATTCCATTCCTGTTATTAAATTATTGTTGTTAACACTTTCAGGATTACAAGATTATTTTGAAACTGGTATTTCTATTGAACAAATGCCATCAGTCGAGTTTTTAGAATGGTTAACAAATTATACTAAAATTACAACTTCATTAAACAATTTAATCATCAAAAATTCAAATAATTTAAATAATAATGGCAATAATTTATCTAGCTCACAACAACAACTTCAATCTCCACCATTGTCATCATCTCAACAGTTGAATAATCAACAACCACAACCACAACCATCTTCACAACAGCCACCACAACAGAAACCAACCAATATTAATCTTACAAACTTGGCTCAAAGATCAAAAATTAGAGCATTATCATCACCATTTGGATCTCCAATTTTATCACCAGTTGATAGCAATGGTGTTGGTTCTATAGGTAATATTAATAATAGCAGCCACAGCCCACGAGGAGCATCTAGTCTAAATCCAAGCCAAAGTCCACGTAACTACTCTGGTTCAAGCCCTCGTCAAAGCCCTCGTTATTCTCCACGTCAAAGCCCACGTTTCTTAAACAACAATTCAACCAATCCTGATGAAGAGATGAATTTAAATAATAACGATTGTATAATACTCCGTAGTATTAAAGAATTTAAACTACCAACCATTGTGGAAAGATGCCAAGCAATCGTTGAAGCCTCTCAAGAAAGTGTAATGATTACTACATTGGCCTCCTTTGCCTTATGCTATAAAGAACTAAAAGAAATTTCAAATTCTTTAAATAATTCAAATAATGATGAAAAATTAGAATCATTCAACGAACCAATAGGTGTTTTCTTAAGCTCCATCCGTACCACTATATTTTGTATCTCCTCAATTATTTCTCCAGTTTATTTATTATAAAAAAATTTCAACTTTTTTTTTTTTTCAATTTATAAATCATTAAAATATTTTGTACATTAAAATAAATTTTTTTATCAAGTATAAGAAAATTAATAAAAATTATATTGTAACATTACTAAATAATCTATGTTTTCAACATCAAAAAATATACTTGCAGAAAATCTATTCCCAAAATAGCAAAATATAAAACTATAAAATAATTGTATTGTGTGGAGCGAAAATCAGTTATTGATTGATATTTTTTAAAATGGATTAATTTCAAATAATAAAAATTTAAAAAAAAAAAAAAAATAAAATTTTTTTTTTAAAATAAATCAAAAAAAAAAAACACATTTACATTCACACACACCACACAAATAATAAACAATACCAAAATTAAAAATAGAATAGTTTATCTTTATAATAATTATCTAATTTAAAACCAATAGCTAAAAGAAATTATTATTTTTTTTATTTTTTTATTTTTTTTATTTTTTTAAATTTATTTTTTATTTTAAAATTTTTTTTTTTTTAATTTTTTTAATTTTTTTTTCCTTCTTACCAAAAGACAACACACACTTTTCACTCACAAAGAAAAGAGATAGAACTCAAAGAGGGTTATCTTTTTAATGTATTTTTATAATAATTTTAAATAACACAAAAAAAAATAATAGTTTTGTTTTCTTTTTTTTTTTTTTTTTTTTTTTTGTAAAAATTTATAAAATAATTATTTGTATTTATAATCTATTACACACCACCATTGTATTTTTTTTATTTTTTATTTATTTTTACAATATTATATTTTTTAAAAATATACATATAATATTAAAATTGCGTTAATAACAAAACTATAAAATTATTTATTTATTTATTTATTATTTATTTATTGTTTATTATTTATTTATTTATTTATTTAAAAATTGTATTATTATTAAAAAACCCTTAATATATTCCACACACACTTGTTTAAAATGGAAGATCAACAACAGCAACAACCTTCAATTAAAAAAAAGATAGTCGATTTTTTAACCAATTTTTTAAAGAAAAGACCATCACCAGATGATTTAAGAAGAGATAATATTTTAGTTGCACCAGATAATGTATCACCAGCAATTCAGGCTCCACGATATGATTTAGAAAATCATCTATCCCCAAATGCAAGAAAAAATACAGTGGTTATAAATGAACCTCAATCAACAAGTAATAATAAAGAGCATTCAAGAAATCATTCAAGAGGCCATTCAAAGAGTCATTCTAGAGGCCACTCTAGGGGCGATTCAAGAGGTGGAAGTATGAAGGATGGTTCAACATCGTCAAGAAAAGAAACTCTAAAAAATGCATGGGACTATCTTAGAAATTTAGATTTTACATTCTCAAAATCAAAATATGGTAATACTGTTGTTCATCGTTTAAAGCATCCACAGTTTGGTTTAAGTCCAGAGGAATTACAAACCCTATATCCTCTACAGCCACAAGGTATACCACTTGTATTATCAAAAGCATTCGAGTATTTATTAAAGCATTTAGATTCAGAAGGTCTTTTTAGAGTACCCGGTAGTAATAAAGAAGTTAGTTTATTAAAATTTAGAATTGAAGATGGTGAAGTAGATTTCAGTGATGTCTTAATTCCATATAATATTTGTGGTTTGATTTCCACATTTTTTAAAGAATTACCAGAGCCATTAATTCCATACGATTATTATAACGAAGCAATCGAAATACCAAGTAAGTAGCATAATATTAACCATATTCTATTTTAATTTTAATTTTAATTAACCCATAAACTAAATTATTATAGAATTAGGAACAAAAGATAAATATATTGTAGGATTAAGAACATTGGTATTATCATTACCTCCAGCAAACCTTTGTTTATTAAAAAAATTATTAGAATTTTTATTACAAGTAGATAAAAAGAGTGAAGTTAATAAAATGACTATTGCAAATCTTAGTATTATTTTTGGAGCAACATTACTAAAAGATCCAGATACACTATATTCAGTCGATCCTATGAAATCATTTAATAATATTCAAGCACAATCAACAGTCATCAAATATTTATTGGAATGCTTTAATGAAGTATTTAGGGATGATAGTGTTGCCAAGGCTTATAGAAAATCAATTGTACCAAGAGAACCAATTGACACTACCACAATCGATTATTTAGATCCAGCAAGCTCGGAGGGCTCACCAAGAGTTTCTATTCAACACACCCTAACTTCAACCTCGCCATTAAAACCACGTCCACCTTCTCGTCCATTACAAAAGAGAGGAACTATTTTATTAAGCCCAAGAGTATCTGGTGGTAATAATCAAGTTTATGCCATTTCAACTTTAACTCGTCCGATGTCAAGACAATTGTTTGATCCAGAAATTTCTCCATCACCATTACCATCACCTTCACAACAACAACCACCTCAAAGACAATTACCACAACCAAAAGGCTCAACCTTACCTTATGGTAAAACTGCACCACCAAAACCTCCTTTTAGAAAACCACAAGCAAACCCACAATATTCAACCTTTCCAGCTCCAAGAAATCCAAATACGATTCCATTAGCTCCAATTCCTCCAAAACCAGCAAACTCCAGCTACCAAGCCTTTAGAAAACCTACAGCACAACCACAAATACCTCCACGCAAACCAACTTCACCTTCACCACCAATATCAAATTTAAATAATAATAATAAAACTAATATAAATCCAATTATAACCCCAACTCCAAATGCAACTTTAAATTCAAATTCGAACTTTAAATCAAAACCACCTCCACCTAAAAGAACTTTTACAAACTATACAGTTGTAGAGGTTGAAGAGTCATATGGAACAAGTCCACCACCTTCATCTATTCCAAATAAACTATCTGTAAAACCAAGTCCAATGACAACACCAACACCCACAACATCCACAACACCAATACCACCAACAATCGGATTTTTAAATAACAGTAAATCACAACCAAATCTTGGTAATTTATTAAGCCAATCTGGTGGTTTTGATAGGCCACCAAATAAACCACCTCCACAACCAGTTGAATTAGCCAGCAAAGCCAAACCAACTCCATCAGTTAAAAAAGGTGTCACATTTTCTGATCAAGCAACAGTTTCAAATTCACCACCAAAATCATCAATTTCACAACCAGCTAAATCAATCTCACCATTATTACAATCAACAACGAATAGTAGTATTGTTAATAAACCACCATCAAAATCTGCACCACCACCAGTTAGAACCATATCTTCCCCAAATATAGTTGTTAATAAATTTGTTCCTACTTTAAAAAGTACCACAGTTATCCCAAACCCTAATACCAGTACAGCAGCTATTGCTAATCAAACTAAAGATGATTGCTCTATATCACCCACCAATGCTGGTAGTTCATCTGCCCCCAATACACCAAAATCGAGATCTGCATTAAACCTATCGACACCAAAAGACTCAACTATTAAACCATCAAAATTACCAAATAGTGATATTTCGATCAGTAGCAATAGCGGATTTGGCTCATTACCATCAACACCTCCTCCATCATCACCCAAAGTTTCATCACCATCAGTACTCACAGTTAGCCAAAAAATCGCTTTAAATGAAAAACTACTTGCAAATAATAATAATAGCAATAATACCAAGCCCTTCTTTTCACCAGAAACTAAAAAATAGTTTCAAATAGTATACCAATATTTTTTATAATCCAATCAAACATTAAATAATAAATAATATAAAATTAAAACTTTATTTTATTTAAAAATATATATTTATTTTTAAAAAAAAAAAAAAAAAAAAAAAAAAGGCTTTCGATTAAAATATATTAATAATAATATAGTATTTTATATATTTTTAATTTTATTTTATAATTAAATATTATTTAAATATTTAATTTTACCGCGCTTAATTTTATTTTTAAAAAAAAATATGTTTGATTATTTTTCTTTTTCTTTTTTTTTAATTATTATTAAAAAAAATTATATTATAAAACTCCTATTATGATTTTATAATGTTAAACCATTGACAATTTGTTTACATAATGAACTATAACACCAGGCATCACCATACAGTCTCTTAAATTTGATTCCATACATATCCATACCGCTTACTCTGCAAATTTCGATTTCAAAATTGATTGTTTCATTATTTAAAGTGCCAATATGTTTACAATCAAATACATAACAATTCTTCCTGAAAACTATATTATTTGAATTTAAATTTTCTTCTATTAAAGAGAATAGTTCCAATGGTGTTTTTCTTGTTGTGGTTCCACTGGTAAATGGACCTCTCATAGTTCTAATTTTTGGGTTCTTGTTTTTATTTCTAGTTATTACTTTAACTATATCTTCTAAGCTGAATCTTCTTTTTGATATTGGAGCGTTTGCAGATGCATTGTCAACAATCGATTGTTGACCACCATTAATTGTTGGGGAATTATTAACTGAAACACTGATATCACTATGAGAGTTACTATTGTTGTGATTTTGATTTATATGTAAATTTGATTGTTTTTTCTTAAAAATATTATGAAATAAACTTGTTTTAAAATTTGGTGTAGTTGGAGGACTTCTTTGACCACTGACTGATAATGGTGAAAGTGGTGGAGTAGTTGAGGCTGATGGAGTTGGTGAAGTTAATTGTGGTGATGTATATTGTGGTGATATTGAATGAGGTGAAGATGGTGTGCTGTTTATTTTTTTTTCATCTAAACAAATTGCGGAGCTAAATTGTGATGGTTTATTTGGTGATAAATATTTATCATTATTGGTTTGAATTATATTATTATTGCTATTGTGAGAAGTAAGTTTTGTTGGTAAGGTTAAATTTGGTGAGCTTTGGAATAGCGATGGTTTATTGGCACCATTCATATATGGTGATTCTGAACATGGTTGTCTTGGTGATTTTGTACCTTCGTGTTGTTGTAATAATGCTTGTTGTTGTTCTTTTTCTAAACGATCTGAAATTTTTTTATTATACTCTTGATCAGGTTCCATTGAAAAACCTTTATTTACCCATATATGACTTTTAATTTCATCCAATGTAGCTCTTTCAGATGGTTCTGCGACAATCATTCTATTTATTAATTCTTTAACGTCATCACTTAAAATTACATGGGATGGGTATTTAAACTCACCTCTTAACAAACGATCCATACCTTCTACTTGTACACCGTCAGTTAAAGTCCATGGTAATTGGCCAGTAACCATTGCATATAGTATTACACCCATGCTCCAAATATCAACCTCTGTTCCATTATATCTTTTCTCTAATAAAATTTCTGGTGGTGCATAAACTGGTGAACCACAAAAAGTAGATAATAAATTACCGGGTCTTACAATATTACTATAACCAAAATCTAAATAAATTAAAATTAATATAAAGAAAAAATTTTAAAATTATTTTTTAAAATATAAATATAATATTTACCGCTAATTTTAACGTTTCCTTCATCATCAACTAATAAATTTTCTAACTTTAAGTCTCTATGACAAACCATATTTGAGTGACAATATATTAAACCACATAACATTTGTCTAAAAAACTTTCTTCCCTCTTTTTCACTTAGACGACCTCTTGCTACAATATAATCAAACAATTCACCACCAGAAACAAGTTCTAAAATTAAACATATTTTACCAGCTTCGTCGTCATAAATTGCATCATGTAGTTGAATTATGTTATCATGCTTTAAACGTTTTAAAATAGATATTTCTCTTTCAATTTCTTTTCTTTCTTTAATTCTTTTTGGTTTTGTAATTTTGATTGCATATTGTTTACCTGTATGAATATGAGTACCGATTTTTACTTTACTTGAAGTTCCTGATCCAATTGTTTTACCTAATATATAATTTCCTATTTTTTGTCCTTTTTTATGTAAGTTTCTATTTGAATTTCTCATTGATGGTGATGGTGAATTTGATGAACATGATGTCGAATTTGATGAGCAGGATGTCGAACATGAGGCTGAGGGTATTTCTTGAATAGTTTCTAAATGGATATCATTATATGATGATGAAACAGCAGTTGCCATTTTTTTTCTATATATTTTCTTTTTTATTATATATACAAATTTTTTAAATAAATAATATTCTTTTCTACAATTTAAAATAAAAATATTTTATTATTAATACTTTAGTTTTAGAAATGACAAAAAAAATAAAAAAGATATTTTTTAAAATTATAATAGTACAACAAATAATAAATAATATTATTTTAAAATAATAATGATGTTTTTTATAATTTTTTTTTTTAAATTTATATTGTTTATTTAAACAATAAAAATATAAAATGGATAAACTGGAAATTTAAAAAATTTTAAAATAATTATATAATATAATTATATACTATTATGGGGGTTAAATTAATAAATGATATGCTATTAAAAAAAAACCATATATGATTTTTTAAATGTGTTAAAAATAGTTTTATATAAATAAAGAGTTGTAGTGTACTATCTTTTTTTTGTGTTATTAAATGAGTAGGGTGTGGTGTGATATGATAAATTATAGTATATAAACGTTTTTTTATATAAACATAAGTTTTTTTTTATGGGTGTGATTGATTATAATTGTAGTAATAGTTATTTTTAAATTAAATGTGGATTTGAAATTTTAAAATAATAAAATATAAAAAAAGAAATAATTAAATACTGATGAGAAAAATAATAATTTATTAAAAAAAATAAAAAATAAAAAAAAAAAGTAAAGATTTAGATTTTTTATATCTATATACAATAAAAAGAAATAATTGTATGGAAAAAGGGACGTTTTACAAAGTCTAGTAAAGTTTCTATTTTTTTTTTTGTAGAATGATTGTTTTTTTTAACACAATCGTCAACACGAACACTATTTTTTGATTTATTTATTATGTGATTTATCAATTATCTTTATTTTATTTTATTTAGTGTATGTGTGTTTATTTGTTACTGATGAAAACAATAATTATATGGTGGCATAAAATGATTTAATATTTTATTTTATATTTATTTTTTTGTTGCTATTAAATCATTTATTTGAATAAAATAAGAAATTATAAAACCCTAAATAATAAATTGTTTTATTTTAAAAACAACACAAAATAAAATAAAATAAAACTAAACAAAACAAAAAAAATGTATGCACATACGAAAAAAACTCAAAAGTATAGGATATATAATAAGGATTATGGGTATGCTGTATATTTTTAATAATTATTATATAAAATAAAAAATAAATGAATCTATTAATATTTAATATTAAAAAAATTATTAATTATATTAATAAGAGGTGAGTTTTTAATATGATGGTTATAATAAAATTAAATTTTAAACTATAGGATTTATTTATTTATTTTATAATTATTATTATATGATTATGATTATACAGTGATGATATATTTTATTAATATATTATTTAAAAAATTATGTATTTTTAAAAAGACAATTTAATTTTTAAATGAAAATATATCATATCATAGAATGAAAGGAAATGAAATATTTATATAAAAATATTTAAAATTAAATTAAATTTAAATTTAAATATAAATTAAAAAAAATTATAATCAAAATTAAATTGCTGTATGTATTTTTTAATAATTTAATTTTGATGAAACCCACACCTCAACAATTAAAGTTAAAATAAATTATACAACAAGTAGTAGATCATAAATATTGAAACATATTATCTTATAATTATTATTTCTTTAAGAAAAAAAAAAAAAAAATTTGAATAAAAAAATAAGGAAAAAAAATGTTTTTAATAACCAAATATATTTATTTATTAACAACAACACAAATGTGATTTAATATTGTTAAGGTATACATTAAAAAATAAATATTTTTTAAAAGTATTCATATTTAAATATATATTTATATGATTATATTAAAATATGATCCTAAATCAATTTTTTTTTTGTTATAAACTATTTATTTTGGTGTTGGTAAGAAAATGTGAGTGATAAAAAGAGGAAAAAATTGTGTGTAGTGTGTGATGGGAGGGTGATGGAGTGTTAATACATACATAGAGTAAATTTTTGTTTAAAAAAAAATTTTAAAAAATAATAATGTGGTGAGAAATACTATATGGGAGTTAGAATTAATCACTCTATCTCTACTAAATAAATAAATAAATATTATATATAAATATTTTTATTCCGCCTTTTAAGTACCCCCCAAAAAAAAAAAAAAAAAAAAAAAAAAAAAAAAAAAAAAAAAAAAAAATTGGTTTTTAATGCGGTAAATAATTTCATTTAAAAAATAATTGTCTATTTTATATCCCTTAAATACTAAAACTAATATATGCATAATATAAAATAAAATTAATGTATTTTATTTGGTTTTTTATTAAAAAATAATTTTATTAATTATTTTTTTTAATAATAATAGCCTGAAAAAAAAAAAAAAAAAAAAATTATTATATTATTTATTTATTATTATAATTGTATACAATATGAAATAACTATTATTTCATATTTATATTAACAATAAAAGAAATTATTATATAATAATAACAAACAACACACTCTCTGTGGAAAGTAAAAAAAAAAAAAATAAAAAAATAAATAAATAAAAAAATTTAATAAAATATAATTATGTTTAACAAACAAACACCCAACTATTTTGATAATATGAGAAATTGTTTTTCAATCTTTTTTTTATTATCATTATTTTTTTTCCTATCTGTATGTAAAATTAAAGGAATTAAACAACGAATATCTTTTTTTTATTATTATTATTTTTATCATTAAGACAAAAATTAAGTGTTGGGTAATTGTGTGGATTGAAAGGGGTAATATTAGTTTTTTTGTGTGAGTGAGAGAATACTGTGTGATCACTTTAAATGTGGTCGGTGGGGTAGTGTGTGTTGTTGTTTTTTGTTGCGGTAATTGTTTAGATAAAAATGACAATTTTAATAGGTAAAATTTCGCTCCATCGATATAGAACTTTATGGTATATACCGTAAAAATTTTAACACACAGTTGTTTTTTTTTGTTGTTGTTTGTTTTTTTAATATTGTTAATATAAATAAATTTTTGGGGGTGAACAAAAGATTGAAAATTGATTTTGTGTATAAACAAAACTATTAAAAAAACAAAAGTAACAATAAAAAAAACAAATATTAAAAAAAAACATCAAACAAATTATATTAAATGATACTAATTTTAATAAATAAAAAAAAAAATAGGGATATGTGTTATTTGGGAGTGTGTGTTAATTGGGTGAAAATAGAATTTTTTTTTTTTTTTTAAATAAATAATTATAAAAAAAAGAATCAAGATATATGAGCAGATTATGTTTTTTTCATAAATAGAATTTTTTGTTATAATATTACATCATATTATGATTTGCAAACTGGGTAAACAAATTATTAAATAAATAAATAAAAAAATAAATAAAACTATTCAAATAATAATATCCAATAAAAGATTTTAATAAAAATAATTATATATGATATTGAAGATTTGGATAGGAAAAAAAAAATAATGTGTGGGTGTTCAGGTGAAGTATTATCTTTGGTATGTGAGATAGTGTTTTTTTTAATGATACAAGACAATTGAAGATAATATTTATAGTTTAAAATATAAGATTAATATTTATTGGAAACAAATATAAAAAAAAATGATTAAAGATTGCTTTTGTGTTTGATTATTTTATTTATTTTTTTTTTTATTGATTGATTTTAATTTTCTTTTATTTTTGTGTGAAATTTAGTGTGACAATTATATTTATAAAAATAAGTAAAATTAATTTAAAATATAAATTTAAATCCATACCTTTAAAAACAAATATTTTTTATTATTTATTTTAAATGAATTTTATATTTTTCAAATAATAAGGTATTTAAATAAAAATACAAAGAGAATCGAGAAATGGGAAAAATATAAAAATATTATTTGTATAAAAAAAAAAAAAAAAAAAAAGGATTAAAATATAAAAAATAATTTAAATTATTATTATTAACAAAAATTAATAATAACAAGAGTATAATTAATTAACAAAAACAACAATATAGAACAGTAACAATAACTATATATAGTGTCTAAAAATAATCTAGATAAAATAGGATGTAACTCCAATTAACAATTGACTATTAACTATGTCTCTTGATTAGATTTAGAAAGGTTATAACAACAAAATTATATTTTTATTAAATACAATTATTATTTATTGTTGAATATATTTACATCTACGCACCTATAAATCTGTGTGATTTTCCTACTTTAAATTTTTTTAATTTAAATGAACAATTGAATAAATAAAAAAAATAAAAAAAATAAATTAAGAAAAAAAAAAAAAAAAAAAGTTTCTTTTTGGGTGTCTTTCAAAAATATTCTATATTTATACATATAATTATTGATGCATTCCTATTTAAACAATGAAAGGTATTGTTTAGAATTATTTTTTATATTATTTATTTTTTTCTTTTTTTATTTTTTTTTTTCTTTTCATTTTTTTGTTTTTTAATTGAAAAAACACAACAACATAGGAATGTGTTTTTGAAATAATTAATATTTTAATTAATAATTAATATTTATTTTGTGTGTATTAGGGTCGTTAAAAATTAAACAATATTGAAAGAAAACCAACAACTTTTATTACCACACCCAAAGATAACTTTTTTTATTATATAATATTTTACTAATGAATGGGTGAATATTTTATTTATAGTTCATAAAAAATATGGGTGAGAGTAAGTGTGAACTTTTTATATGTGTTTTTTTATAATGTGTGCGTATGCGTGTGTATGTGTGTTAAGTGCGGTGTTTTTTAATAGATATTCTGCTGTGCTTTTGAGTGCATGTAAATTAAACACACTCAACCACACACACCCACTTTAAATTAATTTTTTTACTATTTATTTTTATATATTAATTTATATATATCTATTTATTAATGCATTTATTTTGTTGCAAGTTATATATATAAAATACGAAATATGATATTCAATTTCTTACTATTAGTTTATGTAACATCATACTAGACACCATCTTCAATCCCATTTTAAAATATTTAACTATTTTCCATTTTTTTAATTTACTGTATTCCATATTGAGATATAACATCATTTATAAGTAAACCTAACTCACTTACACCATTTAGAACAACCCATTTTAAAATTTTAATTATATTTATATAGAAATATTAATTTTTATTTTTATGATAATCTTTTAATTTTTTTAATTTATTAATTAAATTATGGTTTCATATAATGGGTTGTGTGGAAAACGGGTATTTTTATGTGATGGGAATTGTAAAAAAGTGTGATAATAAAAAAAAATAAAAAATAAATAAATAAATTAACAAACAAATAAAAAGATTATAATAAGAAAATGAATTGGAGGAAAAATAATTTTTTTTTCTTTATTTACTTTACTTTATATCTTTTTTTATTACTTTTTTTTTTTTCTACTTTTTTTTTATTTTTTTTTTTATTTAAATAGTCAAATTTACATTTGAATTGATGATGATTTATTGTCACTATTGGATATGGTATAATTATATATCATTGAAATTATATCTGTAATTGTAATGATACCTATTGGTTTACCACTTTCTACTAAATGAACTCTATGGATTCTATGATTTAAAAATATGTTGAATAACTCGGCGAGTGTGGTGGTTTTTTCACAAGTTACAGGTGGCTTTTCTTTTATATACATGTTCAATGGCAATGCTAATCTATCTAAATTTTCTGAAGCATACTAAAATTGTTATTTTAAAAATAGAAAAAGTGTTAGAATCATATAATTTTTAATTAATATATATTAAAAATATATTAATTAAATATTTTTATGATTTTGTTTTTAAAAACTAATCTATATGCCTATGAGTTTACATACTTTGATATCGTGAATTGAAATATTACCAACAATTGTGTTTTTATCATCTACTACTGGCATACCATATATTTTATATTTTTGAATATCTTGAAGAGCCTTGAATACTGGTTCGCATTGATTAATAGAGTGAACTTTGGAAAAACTATGTAAATTATAGCTACGGTCCAATGAAAGGACATCCTTGTTTTTAAGTTCCCCAAATTCCTGTGAATTATCTTTAAACCATTTTAAGATATCCAATTGACTAATCATTTCTATTTGTTTGTTTTCATTTAAAATAAATGCTCTATGAACACCAGAATCGAAATATTTCAATAGCTGAAGGATTGATGACTTTTTATCTAAAGTGTGGAATGGGAACAAGTCCATTTCTTTTATTGAGCTTGAAACATATTCACCTGTTGGTGGGAATGGTAATTTATAAAGTATATAGCTTAAAAAGTGTTTTAAATCTATGATACCAATAAATTTACCTTCTTTTTTATCAAATACTGGTGCTGATAATTGATTGATAATAGTCTGAAAAAATTTAAATAATTTAACAAAATAAAAAAAAAAAATAAAAAAAAAAACATTTTTTTATTAATATTGATATTGATATAAAAATAAAAATAAATTAAAAACACTTACAGAAAAACCCTCTTCGATTGATATATCTGTATCTAAAATTTTAACTTTTTGTAAAACTATTGTCGAATTTGAAATTGGTTGCTGAAGAAATTGTAGTGGATTTTTCATACTGGTTACTATTTTTTCAAGATTATCACTCATACCCTTTTTATGTATTGGGCTATGATTATTTAATTTATGTTGAGTTGTTGACATTTTATATTGTATATATTATTTATATATATAAATAATTGTTTTATTATTTTACTATTATTATATTGATTTATAAAAAAAAAAAAAAAAAAAAAAAAAGAAAATTAGTTTTATAAAAAATTATAAATAATTTAATTTTATTAAAATTAAATTTATTAAACAACAAAACAAAATCTTTTACCTATTATAATAAAAAAAAATTATATAAAAAAAAATTTTAAAATAAAATTCTAAAACAGGAAAGTTTTTAAAAAAACTAATTTTCCCAAAATAGAAAAATCTTTAAATTTTTTTTTTAGTTTTTATTTATAATAATATATATATATTTTTGTTTTTATTTCAATTCAATTTAGATTTAACCAATATACTTTAAAATATTTTATTTTATATGTTTTTAAAAATGAAAAAACAATGTTTATAAAAATTAATATATAAAAAAAAACATTTTTTTTTTTTCTTTAATTTATGATTTTAGAGTATCATTACAGTGATTCATATTTATTCTATTTAAAATAATTATAAAAAATCATTCCTATGATTTTATTTATTTAAAATTGAGAAAGTGGGTGGGTTAAAAATATATAATTTTTTTAAAAAATATTTAATTTATTTTTTGTTTTTTTTTTTTTAATTAAAAATAAATATTTCATTTATTTTTTTTAAAATTTTAATTTTTTTATCAAATAATAACACACATAGGTTTAAATAAAATATGAGTATAAAAATAAAAATATTTATAAAATTTTTAATAATATTATTTAATATATATATTTGTTCATCATTTAGTATTTATAATGAATATATAATAGAAAATTATATAATGCTAAATGAATCAGAAAACTACAACTATATATTCCCAAAACCTAAAAGTAGTTATTTTGTTGGTACGAACAGCGAAAATTTACAAATACCAGGAACAGAAGTTAGAGCATCAATAGTGATAGATGGTTTAACAGTTTTAGATTTTAAAGATAAGGAATGGAGAAAAGCAGATAAAGATCTATCAAAGAATTTTTATAAAATGTTATTAGAAAAAATCCCAATGACCTATAAGAAAAGTGAAATATCATTAGATTTTCATGAAATAATAACAAAAAAGACAGTATCAATTTACAAAACACCAACACTATCAAGATTTGAATACGAAGCTACCTATAACAATACAGTTCCTTTTGGTTATAATGAAAACTATGAAATCTATGCAAGCTTCGATGACATCAAGATATTTTGTAGCTCAGTATTTGGTTTAATGCATGCATTAAAAAGTTTATTTCAGGCAGGTTATGTTGTTGTTTATTATGATCAATCAGGAAGCCACACACCTGATGGAAAACCAGGGGAATATAAGAAACTTCATTTAAAGAATTTGCCTTTCAACATAAATGATAGACCAAGATTAAACTTTAGATCACTTTTAATAGACAGTGGCAGATACTATTTAGAACCAGAGTATATTAAATCAATTATATTTACAATGTCCCTCTTAAAAATGAATGCTTTACACTGGCACATTACAGATGATCAATCCTTCCCAATCGAAATTAAAGAATATCCAAGACTACAAGAAAAAGGCGCTAATCATCTAGGATATATACACAATAATATCAAATATAAAAAGAATAAAAATAACTATTATAAAGAATCAGATGTAAAAGATATAGTTCAATTTGCTAAATCAGTTGGTATTAGAGTATGTATTTATAATGTAATACTATAATCTATAAAATTAAAAATACTAAAGACAATATTTTTTAATTATTTTATATTTTCATAGGTGATTCCAGAAATAGATATTCCAGCTCATACATTATCATGGGGGAAAGGATATAACAACTTAACAACGCAATGCCCTAAATTTTTAGAAAAAAAGTACAATGAAATCAATGGAAAATATACATACTCATTACCATTAGATGTTTCAAATGAATTTGTATATACAGTTATTGGGGCAATATTCGACGAATTGAACGATCTATTCCCCGATCCATATATTCATATTGGTGGTGACGAAGTTCAAAAAGAGTGCTGGGATGAAGATATGGAACAAAAGAAAAGAATGGTTCAAGATCATAATATTTTAGACACATCTCAATATTTAATTTTCTTTTTCAATCGTTTAAAACCAATTATCGAATCAAAGTTACCAAAAAAAAGAATTATATTCTGGGAGGATGTAATGGATAATATAGGTGATGACGAAATTAACTCCCTCAAAACTATTAATAATAAAGATAAAATAAGTAAAAGTTTTCAAAATATTTTAAATCACAATAATATCTTTCAAGTTTGGAGAGGACCAAATCAATTCAATACTTTGAAAACAACCAAAACCCCATTCATCTATAGTTTTGGCAACTACCTTGACCCATCTTATCAATCATGCAATAAATTTACAAATTGTTTATTTGATCAAGAGAATGAAATTAGCACATATCAAAAATCAAAATTATTAATAGGTATGGAGGCCTGTGCTTGGGAGATGGTTCCAAATGGTGATGTTTATTCAGTCGAAAAAGATGGATCAAAACAAGAGCGTTCATTTAATCAACGTCTATGGCCTCGACTTTTAGCAATCTCTGAAAAAATGTGGTCTGAAGGTAAACCATATTTAGATTTAATTTCAGAAAAAGAAAAAGAAATAATTGTACAAAACACAATAAAAAGAGGTAAGAAAATGTTAAAACTATTAGATAAAACAATTAAGAATCACAATTTAGTTGATTCTGATAAAATAATAGGTGACTTATATTAATTTAATAAAGATAAAATATAAAAATAAAATAAAAAATAATAAAAAAAAGTTATTTATTACAACCTGTTTATATTTTTTTAATTAATTATTTGTTTTTTATTTATAATTTTTTTAGTGTTTTTTTTTTTTTAGTTTTTTTTTTAATATTGTTTTATTTTTTAAAATTCTTTTTTTTTTTTATCTGTAATATATATAAAGTTTAAAAAAAAAAAAAAAAATTTAAACCTATTATTGTTATTATTAAATATTGTTATTAAACATTTTAATTATTATTACTTATTTTTATTATTGTTTATTATATTTATTGCCATTATTATTATTATTATTATTATTATTATTATTATTATTATTATTATTATTATTATTATTATTATTATTATTATTATTATTAATTAAATATTTTTGATGTTAAAATTTTGAACCAACTTTAAATGCTACGCATGTTGTATGATCCATTTTACCTGGGAACTCTCTATAATCATTTGGTTGTTTTTTATTTGGATACTAAATAAAATAAAATAAAAAAATGAAAGAGTTAGATAACTAGTCAAATTTTTAAAATTTTTAATTATAAATACTTACAGATTGCATAAATTCTCTTGCATTATGTGTAACACTTGAACAATGATCGATTATTTTTTTAGCTATATCAGATGGATTAATGACTTTATCAGATGCATCTGGGGAAGCTTGGAAAATCATTTCTTCTAATAACTTTTTCATGAAACAAGTTTTTTCTCTTAAGAGGTCTTCTTGATTTAATTCTTCCCAACCTTTAACGTCTTTGATGTTTAATTCATCAGGTGTTTTACCCAACATTATTGGATCTAAATTATCATGGACACCATCGGAAACAACAAGTGCAATATCGTTCTCTTCACAAAAAGTGAAATATAATTTCAAGTTACGAAGATCAGGCCAACCTTGACCAACATATGGACCGAGTCTTCCACCTGGATCTCTGGTATCACTAAGATTACATCTATTGCCATTGGTTACATCAATTGCCTGTTTCATTTTATGGGAGATGAGAAAAGCTTTGCAATCACCTACACTAGCGCAGAGGAAACCCCATTTTGGTTGATCTTCAGAGGCTTGTTCAAACTCGAGTACTAAACCACCTAATAAAGTTGTTGTGCCAGCTTCCCAAATATCTGGTTTACCTTCCACGATTTTATTATGAGCTTCACAAAATGCTCTTAACAAAAAGTGACCAGCGTCTTGAAGTGAGTTGATGTCGTTCTGTCTTTCATTAAAATATTGGGCAAATGCAGCGATTGCGTCTTTTGCTGCCATTGCAGGTCTCTTTCCCCAATTGCATCCATCTGCAATCGCTAAAACGGCTCTATTTTTATGAACTTGAACAAATAATTTATCGGCTATTGGATCCCCATCTTTTTCACCATGTGGCAGCATGGGATATGTTGAAATTGAACGTGTTGAAAGGTATGTTTCATCATAGTCATCGTCTACTTGAATGGATTGTGCTGAACTCTTTAAATTGGTGACGTTAATTTGTGGTAATTCGTCATATTGAAGAACAACTATTGGTTGATATTTGCTATCATCATTATTATATTTATTGGTTGAACTACTTGCTGTAGTTGTCATTATATCTGACATTATTATTATGGTTTTTTTTTTTTTTTTTTATGACACAAGTTTTTTTTTTTAGATTGAAGGTTGAAAAAAAAAAAGATTTTTTATTTTTTTATTTTTTTTTAAAAAAAAAAAAAAAAATTATTAAAAAATTTTATTAAAATGAGACAAGAAAAAAAAAAAAAAAGATTTAAAATTTATATCTTTAGTTTTTTGAAAAAAAAAAAAAAAAAAAAAGGAATGAGATGTGTGGTGAATGAATAGTGATTAAGTTCTATTTAATTTTTTTTTTTTTTATACAATACAATTCTAATGTGTGAGTGATTTAATAATGTAAGATCTGTTTTTTAAATTTACTTTTTAATATTACAACATAAAAAAAAAAAATCATACAAAAAAAAAAACGAAAATTATAAATAATGAAAATATATATACTA